GCGACTTGGATAAAGTCCTTTGGCTAAGATCTAACATAGATTTTGTTATAACAGCAGATTGAGTTGGAAAGGGACCTTGTAGGTCATCTAGTCCAACCCCCCCACCCAAGCAGGAGACCCTACATCATTTCTGACAGGTGGGAGTCCAATCTCTTCTTGAAAGCATCCAGCGATGAAGCTCCCACAACTTCTGAATAACAGGATAATAACAAGTTAACCGAGGTTGGAAGGGACCTTGGAGGTCATCTAGTCCAACCCCCCGCTCAAGCAGGAAAACCTTAACCATTCCAGGCAAATGGTTGTCCAGTCTCTTCTTGAAAACGTCCAGTGTTGGAGCATTCATGACTTCTGGAGGCAGGCAGTTCCACTGGTTAATTGTTCTCACTTTTAGGAAGTTTCTCCTTAATTCCAAGTTGCTTCTCTCCTTGATTAGTTTCCGCCCATTGTTTCATGTTCTGCCCTCTGGTGCCTTGGAGGGTAAGTTGAACCCCCCTCTTCCTTGTGACAGGATGCTATCCTGTCTCCCTTAAGCCTCCTCTTCATTCAAGTAGACCTATCCAGTTCCCTTCATTGTTCAGATTTGAATTGAAATCTGACTTTTTAATTCTTCTCCCGGCTTAAATTTTTTTCTCTCTCTTCCTGCCAGTGACGTTGCCGCTTAATTAAAAATTCTTTTTTTTTTTTTAAACATTATGGTACAGAAAAGCCAAAACCGACACATCTGTTGAAATTCACTAAATGCCCGACAGCTAGGATTGATGCCGTTCTGAAGAACAGAAGAACCCCGTAAAAATACAGCCCAGCGTCAATAAAAGTCTCAACATGCTCCAGGACGATACCAGTAAAATAGAGCCTGGATAAAATATGACAAGAACCGATGGCAAAAGCAGATTGCAAAAAACACAACAGGTTGTTTAATAACACACACACACCCGCCCCACCGAAGAACAGAAACAGTTTTGTGTATCTGCACAAAGAGGCTTTGTTTGAGTTGGGAGAACAATCTAGAAAGTTGCCGATAAGCCTGGCTTTCTCTTGCCGCGAAAGCAATGTGGGAAGTCTTTGAATTGGCTTTGCTAAGAAAACCATTGCAAGTAGTCCTCGACTTACGACATTTTTTTTGGTGACTGTTCAAAGTTATAACGGCACTGGAAAAGGGACTTGGGACCGGGTTTTTTTTCACACTTACGACCATTGCAGCATCCTGTTCTGACCCAGGCTTCCGGAGACCATAATTAAGCACGCGCTTAGTCCAAACAACTCTTGTTTTATTTCAGTGCTGGGAATTAGGTTCATTCCCAGCCCATAATGAGTCCCAAATAGCCTCTCAAGATAAGCACCCACCTTTCATCTCCTTTGAATGGCTGCCAACAACTACGGCGCCAAATGAACTGTAAAAAACCAACCAAAGTACAAAGTCCACCCAGAGCTTCAAGGATTAATCCGAACCGAGCGAACGACTTTGCTTCCTGCAAAGGCTTCTCTACCTTTGCCTGTCCTTTATCCCTTATGGGAGGGGCAATCACCTCCCAGCCTTACTCCCGAGTCGCCCCTTCTGTTTCCGCTGCTCTTGCCTTCTAGCAGCTCTGTGCATACGCGCACTGGGAACAGGCTCCCCTTGTTCTTCTTCCTTGCTGCTACCAGACACTGAAGGCTCCGGAGGCAGCACCCCACTCCCAGATGGTCCTGGCCCCATCTCTGCATCGAACGCAGGACCCTCGTCCGAGTCCTCTCCAGACTCCTGGACTGCTCCCCGTTCTTCTCCACTGTCCGATTCCGCTGCTGTCTGCGCAGGCTGCTGGCAAACCACAACACCCCCCCCCCAGTCATGTGATCAAAATTTGGATGCTTGGCCACTGGCTCATACTTAGAACGGTCGCAGTGTCCTGAGTCAAGTGATCCCTTTTTGCGACCTTCTGACAAGCAAAGTGGATGGGGAAGCCAGTTTCGCTTAACAACCGCGTGACTCACTTAACAGCTGCAGCGATTGACTTAACTGCCATGGCCTGAAAGGTCATAAAACGGGCCAAAGTTCATTTAACAAATGCCTCAGCCGTAGAAATGTTGGGTTCAATTGTGGTCATAAGTCGAGGACTAAGTAGACAGGCAGGCAGGCGGATACACCGATGTGTAATGGAGACAGAGTTTACAACTGTACTGAAAACTGAAAATTGTATATTGAAAATTATACATGATTTTGTATTTATTTGTTTATTTGTCTTGTCGTGCTTGTGTAGTGTAAAATTGGAGGTGGTGACCCTCTGGGAGCTGTGTGCAATGAAATTTCATTTGTAATGGATGCCAATTAGTGTACATTTAAAGTGACAATAAAGTTCTTCTCTTCTCTTCTCTTCTCTTCTCTTTTCTTCTCTTCTCTTCTCTCCTCTCCTCTCCTCTCCTCTCCTCTCCTCTCCTCTTCCATCTCTCCCTTCTCTTCTCTTCTCTTCTCTTCTCTTCTCTTCTCTTCTCTTCTCCTCTCCTCTCCTCTCCTCTCCTCTCCTCTTCCATCTCTTCTCTTCTCTCCGCTCTCTTTTCTTCTCTTCTCTCCCCTTTCTCTTCTCTTTTCTCCCCTTTCTCTTCTCTTCTCCTCCCCTCCCCTCCCCTCCCCTCTCCCCTCTCCCCTTTCCCCTGTTCTCTTCTGTTCAGTACCATTCTGTTTTCTTCTACTCTACTTGACTCCTACTTTATTCTATTCTATTCTATATTACATTCTATTCTTTGTACTCTACTCTTCTATATTCCATTCCATTCTATATTACATTCTATTCTATATTACATTCTATTCTTTCTACTCTACTCTTTTCTATATTCTATTCTGTTCTATTCTGTTCTATTCTGTTCTATTCTGTTCTATTCTATTCTATTCTGTTCTGTTCTATTCTATTCTATTAACTGGCAGCTGTAGAGAGCATTCCGTGCTTGCCAGCGATGTGCCATGACGGGCCACGTTTCATTGCAGGTTTGAGTCATCTTCCCATGCCATCAGTATGAGCACTTACCTGCAGGAACAGAGGAGGGAACTTTATAGCCGGAGTGGGGAGCTGCAAGGTAGGTGTGATCATTAATCCCTTTCTAGGCGTGACAACAACAAGAGAGACGCGAATAATATTAAAAGCTGTTTATTGAAGCGTTTGCAAAGGCCTGGACTCCTTCTCCTTTTGGGGGAGGAGATAGGAGACGTCTTCCATAGAAACATATGACAGTTATGTACAATTTCAGAAGCTCAGCCTTGTTACCACCTTTTCATCCTATTGGCTAAATTCTGGGTGGGCAAGGGTCTTTTTCCCATAACTTCCATCCCAGCTATTTACCCATTTGCAGTAATCTCCATCCCTGTTGGCATAATCTCCATCCTGTTTGGCAGCTATTGCTCTTGTCAGCATTATTAATTTTAGCATGACAACGGTCAGTCTGACCTGCCAGCTATCTCTAACCAGAATGTGCAAAAAAGAATCCTGTTATTGTAAACATAAAGGACATTCTTACACGATGTCTTACTTAATATTCCAGTAACATTCCAGTAAAATGTCTTCAATTACTTGAAGGCTAAAAATGGCGTTCCCCGGGCTGTCTATATTTTTACAGGAATACTTCTTACATATCACAGTCGGACAGGTTATTATCAATCAGCGCCAATCAAAAATATCTCTCTCTCCCACGAGAGGATTGGAATTCAGTTGTTGGTAAAGAAAGCCGAAATAAACCTGGATGACAAGTTTGGAACACTGGTTTATATGTCGACGTTTCTAGCAAAAACCGTGTTTGGTGCACCGAACACGGAAGCCGGGCGGGTTTCATGGATACGACTGGTCTTTTGAAGTGCCAATTTTGAAAGCAAAGTAAGGACGCTGGTTTTGATGGAAGGGAACATCTATAGCTCAGGGTTGAACTGCGGGGATCCTTGGTGTTTCCTGAGCTTGGTGGTATTCTTGTGGACGTTTCATGGCCCATCTGGATAACATCGTCAGTGCTAGGAGGGAGAGGGGGTTTGTGGAGGGGAGAAGAAGGAGAAAAAGGAGAAGGAAGAGGAGGAAGGGAAGGAGGAGGCGAGGGTGGGAACTTTGGTGCCCTCTGAGTTGGGTGATATTCTTGTACGTCAACTCGTAAAGCATGCCTGTTTCTGAGTTGCCATAAGCGGGGGTGGAGGGTGAGGAACCAGAAGTACATTCCACACTTATCTTACAAAGATTGTAGCTAGGCTACCGGATCTTCTGCCTTTGAAAATCTTTCGTTGGAGAGTGTGATTGATGACACCCAGCCTGTGAATGTGCTTTGTTGGAGAATCGGATGTGTGACACAACCGGGGAGGAGGGAAACAGGGCCATAGGTGACCATGAATTATGTCTGGGCTTCAACTGGGATAATGCCGACATCTTGCTCCTAATAAATATTTTGGATTCTTTTGAAGCTTGGCTTTGAAGGCTCACGATTTAATTAGGGCCATTGCAGAACCCTGACAGCGTAGATATTTCATGACCAAACTAGGTAACATCATCAGTGCTAGAAGGGAGAGGGGTTTGTGGAAGGGAGGAGAAGGAGAAGGGGAGGAGGAAGAGGATCATGAGGACGAAATGGTGGGATTCTTGGTTCCCTCTGATTTTGATGATATTCTTGTAGATGTTTCATTGCCAAACTAGGTATCATCATCAGTGCTAGAAGGGAAGAGAAGTTTGTGGAGTGGAGGAGAAGGAGAAAGAGGAGAAGGAAAAGGAGAAGGAAAAGGAGAAGGAAAAAAAAATATGAGGAGGAGGAGGAGACTGGGAGATCCCTGATGCCCTCTAAGCTTGATCGTTTTCTTGCAGACCTTTCATTACCAAACCAGATAACATCATCAGTGCTAGAAGGGAATGAGGTTGGTTCTCTTAATAGTCCAGGAAGGATGAGTAGAAGTAGGAAACAGAACTATTTTTTTAGGGTTTTGTTTTTTTTAGAAAAAATACTTCATTAAACAAATTTATACAAATATCATAAAACCAAACATTCCGCTCGTCGCAACGTAAGCAAGACAGTGTTCCCTCAATCTGACATCTCTCAAATGATGTAGAATAAATCATTCACGCTTTATTCCTTTAGCATATAACACAAAGTTTTATCTAATTATATATTACAAACATAGCTGCATGTAATATTACTAATTTCCATCACACCTTTCGGTTTGACTTCGTTTTGTTCTTTTCATGTCTTACCTTCCCACCAACTATATACCAAAAATTCGGGAGAACAGAACTATTTTGACCGTCTCACTTTTCTGAGGTGGAGCGCAGATATTTTGGGTTGCTTCTTCTCCGTAGTCTGGAATTAACTATGAACCTAAATGGTTCAACACCCCCCACCCCCTATGGACTATGCTGAACCTACCAGTCAAACGTTACTAAACGGGGCTTATCTATTTGGGGACGTGAAGGAGGTGGAGACGGACACCCCCTGTTATCACTTAACAAGCTTTATTGCTTCTCCTTCAGAGTTCTCCCCCCCGCGTGTTGTGCGTGGCTGGCGGGTGTTTGAACCTGTGGCGAAACGGTACAAAACACGCTTTGTACCCGAGAGTGGATTTGATCAAACCATCAAGAGTTGCCGGGAGTCAGGTAGCCTATCAATTTAAATTAACCGAAATAATCGGCGCAGAGATTCAGATACGGAGAAAACACCCGCTGCCCCCCACCCTTGCAAAATGTGCCTGAAAGGGGCCCCAGCGGTAGCCCTGTCATTCATCATCATAAACCCAGAGATAAAATCATCCATATTTATTCTCTTGATTCCGTGCTCAAATCACATTTTAAAGCGTCGGCTTATTGATCTCAGAAGCCGGAGCGGCTGTTGGCTTTAAGAGTTCTCCACCATCTTTGTCAACGGGCCAAGGCTGAACGGGACCCCGTCTCTGGCCCAGGCAGGGTTATCCTCGTTCAGGCCCAAACGACTTGATTTTATTTTGATTTCGTGGCTTCTCCCCGTACCGCGTATTAATTTCACCTCCGTGTTATTCATTTCGTCCATGTCCGTTTTAATGCGCTGGGACTCCGGCAAGGCGTTTGACAAAGTAGGTGGCAGTCTGCTCCTTCGTAAGGTTGTAGTCTTAATCTGTATCTTCGCTGACCCCTGTTAGGGTTGGCCGGTAAATCTGGAGGCGGCTGAAGAAGTCGTCAAACGAGGTTTATTGGTGAGGCCCTTGGCGGACTCTCCGCTTGGTTGTATTCTTGTGGGCGTTTCATTACCCAACTAGGCGGTATCACTGGTGCTAGAAGGATGTGTGGTGTGCAGGGAGGGAAAGGAGAAGGAGGAGGAGGAGAGGAAGGTGGAGGACTGCGGGGTCCTTGGTGTTCCCTGAGCTTTTTCGTTTTCTTGCAGACGTCTCATTACCCAGCTAGGTACCATCATCAGTGCTAGAAGGGGAATCAGGTCTGCAGGGAGTAGGAGAACTGTGAGGTCCTTGGTGCTCTCTTTACTACTGCTAGGGCTAGCCCCATGTAGAGCTTGTTGCAGTAATCCAGCTGTTTGATATTGTGGCCATGCCATTTTCTCTCCTCCCCCTCTTCCTCCTCCTCCCCCTCTTTCTCCTC